GCCTCAGTTGTTGATTCGAAGGTAGTCATCTCTTTACTGGTTCAGAGCCATCAAAAAAGGGCAAAAAACACACCTCCATATTTTACATGTGACTTTTTAGTCCCCCCTTTTAACTGACACATCTAATCAGCATCACCATAGCAACAGCTAAGGTCTTTTCCCTCTCAAATGTATTTTGGGCAAGATTGGAGACTCCAGAGTCTGAAATCTAGAAAGGTCAGTGCCTCTACTCTACCCTCAGAGGCAGCAACAAGCGTGTCTGTCTGCACAGTTGGTCATTTGTTTTCCTTTATGATCCAAAGAGAGCTATTTCATAATCCTCTCCTGGAATAAACTTCAAATACAAGGGGAGATCAAAAGATATTGTGAATAATTAAATTAAAAAAGTGTTACAGTAAAAGACATATTGCTAAGAATGGTGGGATACATGTGTTCAAAGTGGGGGTGGGGTGGGTGTATTTTGAATATTTTAGAGAAGATTAATGGCAATGTGCCTTTTACTGCAATGCATTTTTAATTTAAACATTCACCATATTTTGTAATCACTCTTTCATTGATCAATCATTTATGGCATATTCTGCATATTCTACATATTCTGTCGTTCAGCCTCCATTGTTGATTCGCAGGTAGTTGTCTACTGGTTCAGAGCCATCAAAAAAGGGTGGAAAACACACCTCCCTATTTTACATATTTATTTTTGTCAAAAAAAATTACAGTGTGTCCTCATCCACCTTATGCATCATATCTGGCACTGTGTAACTTCTGGCTCTTTCTGAAAGTTAAAATGACCATGGAAGTTTTGAATGGATTCAAGACATCCAGGCAAGCACAAAGCACAACTAGAGACATTCACGGAAGAGGACTTGCAGAACTGCTTCAAAAAAAAAGGCAGGAACAATGGGATAAGTGTGTTTAAAGTGAGAGGGAATATTTCGAAGGATGTGTAGTATTAGAAGTAGACAGATTCCTCAACAGATTTCAAGGTTTTCTGGGAAGATGCTGGACTCCAGTTCATGCTTAGCTCAGAGCTCAGCACACAGCAGAAGCAAAATAGGCATGCAATGGATGGGTACATTTAACAGAGGACAAAGCCACAGATGGCTTTCAAAGTGGCTAGTGCAATTCTCAGGGTATCCTTTACCCTTTTGAACAGACAAAGTTTTCAAAAATATCTTTGTCCAATTTCTCCTAAATGAGAAATATTTTTCTTGTCTAGTCCCACTATTAGAACTTAATGCACAGGTCTTCCTCTTTTCTAATATCTTTTGCGTGGCTACTGTATTTGTTTCTTTTCCTAAATACCCTACTTTACACTGGATGCTAATCTAAGCACTTAGATATGATTAGTAAGCTAAGGGTCTTATTAAAAACAGTTAATTTTCTCTTTTTTAAAAAACTTGAGACAGTTGAGTCCCTGAATATGCTCATTTATCACCAACCCCCAATAAGGCATCCTGGAATTCTCTGTGTACGACATGAATAATTTTTACAAAAACACAGTTGCTGACTGTGTCATACATCCATGCAGCTTTATAAAACAAAGCAAATGATTACCATCAATTATAATAACCTCACTAGACAACACTGCAATTAATCTGTAGCTCTTCAGATAACGACTGCTGCACTGTGTCAAGGAGAATGCCTGGCATTAATTGACTTATCACGATCAGCAATGATAGATGGAGCAGATGGCAATGTGATTATTCACTGTCAAGAAAATAAACACATGCTTTGTTGCGACAAGTGTCTACTTCTCTTCTCTCAAAGGATAGCCAGAAATAGAGACCAAGGATGGCTTTGAAAGAAACACAAAATAATAACAATAAAACATTGAGTTATGGGGTGATATATATTTGCCTTTACCGAGGCTAACCCTCAAGGGAATCTACTTGGAGGGAAATTCTATAAGAAAATCATAGATTATGTAGAATTTCATTATTAGGAGTGCATTAAAACTAACGGTTCACCTGCTTATTAGGATGTGAGTCACTTTTATGAAGACACCAAATTCTGTTCAATGTTTAGTAATTCCAGTGATAAGAATTCACTGTTTCCAAAACCAAACTCATTTCTTTGATGGAGAGCTCTCATTGCTACCGCATAAGTTTAGTTGAACTCCAACTTTCTGTAATTTCCATCCTTTTGCCCTAGGTCATTTATCTCATGCTACATAGAAGATGCCAAGCTCCTCTTGCTCACTGAGCCCTTTATATACCTCAAAGGCCAACTTCCTATCCATGATCTTCCTTATGACATTGTTTTGGGATCTCCAAAATTCTCCTTATTACATTCCTTGATCCACCCATTAGTCTGCTAATATTGAGAGGTTGGAAAAAAAGTGACCCAATTGATATTGTCTACCAGGGGAAGATATAACTGCAGAGGTTGAGGCTGATGCTCAACCAGCTTTGGGGCAAGGGATATGTGTGATTATCTTGCTTTGGAGGCTGTTCACCAAGTACTGCCAGTTTAGATAGCACCCCAGCTGCCTTTTTCAGGAGGGGATTACCACGGTATGCCTCTTCCAGTGTGGTGTGCATGGATTGTTGTCTTTGTTTAGAAAACTGGGAAAATTCAGGCAGAGTGTCTCCTGAAATCTGCATAGTGCTTGCTCATCAAAATCTCTCCAGGGAATGCACTTGCCTGTGCCTCACTCCCTGAGACCCTGATTCAGCTGGTTTTAGTAAGGTCTCAGGAACAAGTATTTTGACAATGCACCCCAGTGATTTGTATTTATGACTCTGTTTAATTGTATTCTTCACTGTTTAAATGCATTTCTAAGTGTTTTCTTTATGAACACTTAATAAGGGTACCGTTAATGGGTAGTTTCATGGATCTAATTGTTAGACTATTCCGGAAACTTGTAAAATGCAGATTCTTTGGAGTACCTGATACCTATGGTCTGGGGTAGGTCTAGGAAGATCAGTATACTAAGAGATCAAATTATTATATATTTCTTTTAAGGATTTTGGAAGCAGCCATTTGCTCCAAAACCATAACTTATTCATCTATAAGTTACAAAGCATCCTTACTATCTATTGAAGAAACAAATGATATCAAAGAACTTTGTAACTTAAAGATTTTTAGCCTAGTAACTATCTATATATTTTTCATTCCTATTTAAATAGTAGAAATATTTCTACGCTGAGACATTGTTGTGATAGGCACCAGAACATGACATTCTAGTGAGGGATAAAGAACAACAACACAACAAACCAATAAATGAAAGAGTAACTCAACATATAAAATAATTATAAATCTTAAAATAATTGATATTATCAAAAGGAGGAGTTTATCTAACTTTGAATATTTTCCAATTCAGACCAGAAGTCCCCAATTACTCTCCAGTTCTGGGTTTTGCTCTGCTGTCATCATATCCCCTGCTATGCCATTGCTCAGGACCTGCAACTCCTGGGAGCTTTCTGTAACCTGCTTGTCTTTGGAAGACATCTTTAAGCAATCCTAGCATTTCTCCTCCTTCAGATCCAGGAGGGAGACTCATACTCCTGCTCAACCCAATTGTCTATGCAGCCATTACTAATAGATCACAGATAAAATGTGATATGTGGCTTTTCCAACACCCAGTGCTCTGACATGCCTTGGGGCCATTTCTCATGCTAGTCCTCATTTCCTGCTTTATCTTTTCACCCATCAACTGAGTACTTCCTGTGCTCCTTACATGTGGAATCCTACTTAAATTTTAAAATAACCTTGCGAGGTGTCTGAATTGTGCCTTAGAAGTATCAGGTAACATCCCAAGATAACATAGTTAGTGGGTATCAAAGCGGGAGCTACAAACTCAGGTCCTTTGACTCCAAAGCTGATGCTCTTAAAATTGCTCTTCATTGCTTCTCTTCACAGCCCAGTTCAAAGGGCACCTCCTCTGTGAAGCTCCTTCTGAACCCTCCAAGTAAAATTTATCACTTCTTCCTTTGAGTGTGCCAGGGGCTTTTTGCTGCTCCATTACGGCATGACATTATGCTTTAATGATTTGAATATAGCACTCTTTGAGCTCCTCGGTGGTAGAAGCTCTTTTTTTTTCCTTTTTCTTTTTTAAACCCCTGTATCCCTGGTAACTAGCTGGATTCCTAGGAAGGTTCTCTGTTGATGCAATTTGAACACACATCAAAATCTGGCCAACGGACTCCTTCAGGTTGGGATCTATTCCTCAGTGTATGGTCTTAGCACATTAAAAATAATGCCAGGTTTAAATGTGACTTTGACAAAAAACAGAAAGGATCTTGTGAGACACATGTTTCTATAATTTCAAAGCCCTCCTGACATCAGTTATGGAGACTTAACAGGAACATGGTTGTAGGGTATTTAGCATATGAGGACCCCTGATTCCTCATTGATAATCACCCACAAGTGTCATGGGATAAAACAGGTCCCATTAGATACACCCTGCTCTTCTAGTGTCACATTTTGGATGACATCTGTTTCGATGGTAACTCTCATTCTGTAACTGAATCTGTGCTTGTGCTCACTAGTGTGGCCTGAGTGTTGTCTGAGTTGATGGTGGCACACAGTGACACTTACCCTTAATGGTGGCACACAATAACATTTCCATTCTGCAGAATCTCGGGCAAACTGTTTAGCTGCCTGACATTTACTTCACAGTATGTTATCATTTTGAGCAAATAGGGTCCATTCTACCAGAAAGGAGAATTATGGAATCTACACTTGCATACATGACACCAGAGGTTGATGGCTCAGAAGGAGGTAAGTGAGGAGGTACATGAAAGGTGAAGGTCTGGGGTTGCATTATGCTCCAGAGATATATGAGGGCACAAGTTCCAAGAGAGCTGCATCAATGTCTCAGAAGGAAATGCTCAGTTTCACTGTAGCTTTCCCTGGGAAATATTCCTGCATGCAAAAGGAGGGAAGAAAAGAGGCCTGGACCTGCTAGTTTCATTGATTCAAGAGAAATCTTCCCATCTGTTATTTCACTTTGGATATAAACACCATTTCTTATACCCTTAGTACATTGACCCACATACCTCTCCAGAGAAGGCCTGACCATTGAGGAGGTGCTCCGACCCTTGGCTGTCCTCACTCCCAAAGTGTAGCCGGATCTCCTCCAGCCGGTGGCTGTATGTCATGGGCCCTCCTGATATGTTGACCAAGTGCTCCTTGTCCAGGCGGAGGGACACATGTCTTCCAGTGTTGTACATAGTCCCACTGACCTGCAAGGAAATGCGTAACATGTCAAGCAAGGCTTTCTTTCTTCATTTCTCCCCAAACTGAGTGTGGTGTGTGGACCAACGCCTTTTGCTTCCTTAGATGGAAAGACGTATGGAGTAGGGCATGGCAGCCTCTCTGGAGGGCATTCTTGGTGCTTTCTGCGAATCACAAACCACAGTATCATTTAGGAAGCTGGGGCAGGAGATTAAAGGAGACTTCTCATCAAATGCGACTGATGTATTGTGTATTGTACCTTATAAAAATTAACTTGTCCCTGTGCTATAAGTATTTGGAAGGAAAAGAACCTGTAAAAGTGAAGAAAATCTCAGGTTGAGAAATTGGTGCAAGTAATTAGCAGGGGAAGATGTCAAGAAGGTCAAATGAAAGACAAGGAAGCCAAAACAGTGAGGAGAAGCAAACCCTGCTGGGAGGTTGAGGGTCTTTATCTGGAGTGTCCAGTGTGCCGTCCTGTTTTGGTGAGACTCGCTCCCAGCCCTGTAACCAGACATCGCACATCTGACCCGTCCTCACAGCTCTCATCCTCAGTGTTAAGCTAAAGCGATTCACTTAAACCTCCCATTCACAGATTCCCGGGCTCATTCCTCATTCCCAGTTCCATCTTGCTTCAGTTCTTTGAACTGCTAAGCTTATTGCTTTCCATTCTTTTTCTTTCTTTCTTTGCTCTTTGGACTTGGTGTTCAGCTGCACTTTCCGGACTATGACATTAGTCCTTCGTTCCACCTGGAACTCTACTTCTGTGCTCTCCTCAGTTGACTTTCCTCGGGTGGTATGATCTGGGTCTTAAGGAAGCCTTTACATGAATCCAGATGGAATGCTTCTGAGATGTGAGGTGACAAACCCCTTGGATTTTCTCCCTGCTTACTCTGATCCCTTGGTCCCAGCGTTTTATCCCAGTGGATTCTTTAAGGCCTCATGTAATATCTGATTTATTAGCCACGGTTTTCATATATTTATTTTCTCTGTAGCCCTAGCTGTTACATGCCTCTCCACCTTTCTGACCCTGGTCTTGTGAGTGATCAGTTGGCTTAGTTCTTAAATTGCTTGCTAAGGAAGAGACAACAATGCTCATCAGTACTCAACTGACTCATTTTTTCCTGTCACCTTACTGCAAGGTGGAGCCTATGTGATTGGTGTTGGCCAGGGACTTTAAGGGATCATCACAAGTACCACTTCCAGCTGAAACTCTGAAAACTTACACACACTTCTTCAGTCTCTCTCTACCAGTGCTACCCAGCCAGGAGCCTTATGTAGAAATGTAAATATAGTGCAACCACTAGCTGTAGCCTGTGTTGGCCTGGCTCCCTCAGGGACTTTGTGCAGTTTATAGAAATGGCCAGAATTCTTCATTCTTCCCCTCCCTGTTACTGTACTACTTAATAATGTGCATTTGTAGCTGCTGCAGATAGGAGCCTGTTCCCATCCCTTGGCCCCAGGCTGCCCTTCTCATTCACTTTAGGCAATAGCATGTAGTGGCAGCAACATGCTGGTTCTGAGAGGAGTTTTGAGAGGCCTTTCACATCTCCTGACTCCTTCTGGGGAACTTGAGCCCATAGGGCAAACTATCCTGGGCTAGTTGGCTAGAGCATGAGACCCTAAAGAGGGAAGCCAGCCAGGTGAGGGCATCCATGGCTGATCACAGGAGCCCTGCCCTGCCAGGATCAGTGTGGCTTGGCCTGGGCCAGAAGGACAGCCCACTGACCCACAGAGTTGGACTCCGTAACTGTATAATCCTAAGTTTCGGGGGTGGCTTGTCACCTAGTGAAAGCTAAATGGTAAGCGCTACGTCAATCATCTCTCTCCTGTGAATCTGGTTCTGCCAACAGAAAAGCTAACAGAAACTGGATCCTCTCTGTCCAGTGCTGCAAAGTCACACGGGATCCCAGAGGCCAAACTACTAAGCAGTAGAAAAGTTAGAACACAGAGGGAGAAGAACGAAGCAGATGTGTCTATGCTGAGAGAGCAGGGGTGGAAAGGGAGAATAACTACCTGACCTACGCGTACTGGTACATCTCATTGTTCTGGTTCTTTCAAGAGGCCTGAGCTATACTTTCTCAGGTGTTTTACATCTTATAAATAAATTCCACCCTTCTTAAGTTACCTGTCCTCACAAGCAAATGATCCCAGTCAAGGTTCTATTTCTGTCCTCACAAGCAAATGATCCCAGTCAAGGTTCTATTTCTGTTCTCCAGCCTGTGTATCTGGTAACTGTGAGATATGGGAACTTCTTCTCCTGTGTCTCAATGATTTTCTTCCTCTGAAGTATAATGGGTCAAGATAGGTTTGTGTTTGACGTTGCTTCCATCTTTAAATACAGTTTAGTTTTTTCTTTGCTAATGGAAAGGGGACCAAGAATGGTGGGAAAGGCAGGGAGGGGAGTGGAAGGGGATGTGAAAATAATGAAGATGCGTTGTGTACATGTACTGACTCCCCACAATGAATGTAGTAATCGTGTACTGCAAACATGTACTAATAAATATAAAAATTAAAAAGAAAGCTAAGGCAAATATGCCATAATATAAACAATTTCTAATTGTTAAGATAATATACAAGTATATATATGGTTCAGAAGATACAAAACAGTTCAACAAAGAAGAATCAGCCACAATTCCGCAATTAACCAATAAGCAGCACTAATACATTGGCATGTATGATTTCCACACTAAGTATATATGCACCTATATTTTATGAGATCATCTTATATGTGTGCTTGAATATATAATAAATGATTTTGTATGTATATACATATAACTTCCTGTATGAATATTTCCAGAGCATTAAGTATCCTGCAATATCACTTTGAAATAGCTGCATGATTTTTCACTGTAAAAATATATAGCTTATCATTGTATCTTTACTTTTTTTTACCTCTTGTAAAAAGTAATGCAATAACTACCCTATGAATAAGAGTTTTTACTCCCCTAGGGATAGTTCATTAGGTAAAGTCTGGATGTAATTATACACACATTGTTAATAGCATTTACTATGTTTTGTCACATCCATTTTCTATGAGGAGTAGATCCCACAGAGCGGGGCTGTATCTCTGTAATTATTTCCAAATGACATAAAATACAGAGCCTTGAGATTTAATCCAGCAACATCCACGGGTATCTATAGTATGCAGAGCAACTTACACAGAGTTGCTCTGAGTTCTTACAGCATCGGGCAAGTATTGAGGGTGTCCTTGTCCTCTAGAAATCCTTCACTCATCTGTGCCTGTCTAATGTTCCTAAGAAAATTGTCACCTACCCAAGCAAGACAGGACCATGTTGCATGCTGGTCTGGGTCTTCCCAGGAGTTAGAAACACAGGGACAAACATCAGGTAGAAGAATCAAGGGGTTGAGAGTCAAAAGCGTCCCATTCAGCCTCTTTGATCTTTGTGAGCTCAGGTGGCTTACTTGATTTCTTGATATTTTAGCTTTTAGGCATAAAATGGAGATAACATGATTTCCCCCATGAAAATGAAGGACCAAAAAAGCCACAAGCAGTTTTGAAAACAAATATCAAAATGATACAAGTCCCTCCTTATCAGTAATTACATCAAGTGTGAATGAATTCCATTTACAGTGGTACCTCAGTTCACAAGTGCTTTTGCTGGTGAACAGGTTGGTTTGCAGACGGGAATGTTTAGCAGAATTTTGATTTTGTGGGTGAGCCCTGCACTGGGTGATGAACAAGACCGGGGCCATCTTTTCTACACGAACACAAATATGGTTGTCTTTTCCAGAATTGTAGAATGAATTAAGTTTATGAACCAAGGTAAACTTGTATATGAGGTAGCTAAAGTAGACAAGATTATAGTGACAGAAAGAATAGTGATTACAGGGGCTGAGAATGGAGAAGGGAAATTAGGAATCTAGTGTTTCATGGATATAAAGTTTTAGTTTTGCAAGATGAAAAGAGTTCTGCAGATGTATAGCGCTGAAGGTTATTCTGAAGATACTTAGGATGATAAAATGCTGCATATATTTTATCTCAGTGAAAATAGAAACAGATCCCTTGTCAGGCTGTTGTGAGTACTAAGTAAATAATATATTCAGGGGTCACACATTTTCCTTCTTGTCGTCCCTTTCTTTTGGCTTATTGCATGGATGCTCAGCTACTGCGGGAGGGTCCTTTGTGATTTTCCTTCTCATCTTCTCCACTTTCTAGATCTTGGTGGACTGTGATGTTGTTTGTTAAACATTCACCATGGGGACCTTTGACTTCCGCACTTTGATGACTGGCTTGCCTCTGTATTTGGATTTTAAAGTGCTAGATTCGAGAAGCATCCTAGATCATTTTGAAGACTTGGAGCAAACATGAAACTAGGACAACTATGAATAAACTATGGGGCCTTCTAGTTCTTATTTCTCTTCCAGACCTCTCTGTGCACACAGCTCAATCTTTACTCACTTATCACTCAGAAAATGTTCAAAGCATGACTGACCCTGTGCTCTGACCCAGGGGTACTGAGCACGGTCCCTGCCCTCATGGAGCCCACACTCCACTACTCAGAGATCTGAGTGGGAGGAAGAGGTTGTAGGAATCAATAACTTTTCCATTTGTCTGTGTGTTCTGACAATAAGATGTAACACGCTCTTCCCCCCACCCTTTCCCTAGACATTGAAATAACATTAATTTGTATTAATCAAAAAAAGATATGTAGCCAGGGTACGGTTTGTTGCACTTTAATTTAAAAATAAAGCCTTGACAACATTATGTACGATATTGAAATCCAACAGTACATCTGCACTATGGTAATTAACACGGCAGCAGTGTCGTTTTATCTGTGATGCTAATGACTGCGTTACCAGTGAACTACTTTGGTGCACAGCATGTTGAAGGAGTTGCATCATGCAGACCAGGATGCAAATCTGGATGGGGAAGGTGGCGCTGTGGGGGATTTCCAGGTTGCCTCCGGCTGCCCCTGGTTCTCCTGGTGGTTTCATCTTAATTCACAGCAACATGAGGGGAGAGGTGTGTGATGTCTATTTTACAAAT